ACATTTGCAGACTGGAGTCTCCTCCCTGGACCAAATCCTGAGACTTTCTGCTCAAATCCATCCACCACAGCTGCTGAGGCCAAACTCCTCTTCTGGTTTCTTGCTCTTTCTCTTTTTCCTGGACCTCTTTCTCCTTCCTTCCCTGGAAGAAAGGAATGGGTAGAGATAGAGGGAAAAGATATCTTTGCTGGTGTGTTAGGAGTGGTTAACCCGTAGACTTCTAAGACATTTAAATTTTATCCTGTATAAATTGGAGAATTAATGAGAAATTAAACAAGCGTTTTTTTTCATACCTATGGATGATTCTCACAGTCTCAGCTACCTGAGATGAGTGAGAATGGATAGTTCAGTGAGTAGATGGAGACATAGTTTCACAAAATGCAGGCAGCTACTCCTTGGTGAATTAGGAAATCATTTGTCAGAGGAACCACGAGTGAATTATGATTAAAATCAGTACTGAGCATAGAGAGGTTTACACGTAAGTATATGTGAGTATGTAAACTACATAGAAATATACAAAATACAGATGGCATATATCTAGAATATATTGCGCCATGTACTATAAAGATGAGAAGTATTTGGGAATCTTTGTTCCCACTATAAACTCATGAAAGAACAGAGCGTTGTGTAGAACAGATTTCTTACTGTGAGTCACAATAAAATAATGAGAAAACTTCAGGGTAGGTGGCTACAAGTTCAGGGGTTAGTCAGACTCCTTGGGTTTATAGCTTCATCCAGCCACTTACTGGTTCTGCATACTTAGGGATTGATCTCTCTCTTTCCTGTGTCAGTTTCTGCATATTAATAATAGTGCCCACTGCAAAGGGTTCTTATGAAGATAAAATTATTTCATGCTTATAATGCTGGAAGAATTGCGCCCAACACAGCTAGTTCAACAGATGTTAATGTTTGTTTCCCTTCATTTCATTTCTGCCTTTCTGTAATTCCTATAGACTGACTGCCTAGTACAGCACTTGAACACAATGGAGATTCAATAGTTGTTTGTCATTTGTGGAAGCAATTTCTATTTCTAGGGTTTACTGAAAACTCCCCCCCCTTTTTTTCTGTTTATGGCACACAGGAATGTGACCCTTATCCAAACCAAGTGAAGAGAGGCCGCAGGAACCTTCTACCAGGGCTGGCCAGTAGATTGTAGATGGGAAGTAATGGATGCCACTTCCAGGACTAAGCATTTAATTACTCATCTGAGACACTCCCTTTTTTTTTTTTTTGTAGTGGGAGAAGGTGAAGGACCCTTCAGCCTAGGTCTCTGACGGACCCTGGTGGGCAGCCTGTGTTACACAGTAGCATGTAACTTTCACATGTTTGCTCGTCCCTAACACCTTTACTGAACTATGAATCACCTGTCATGATGTGCACAATGTGGGCCTTCTTAACGTTTTAAACAATTTGAGGGTTTTTCATGTATTCAGAGTCATACCAGTGTTCCCAGGAAATTGAATGCCATTCTAAGACATTTTAAATTTTATCCTGTAGTAATTGGAAAGTGAGTGAGAAATTAAACAACACATTTCTTCATGAGATAGTCTAACACACAGTATTCCCCATTTCCTCTGGCTTCTTCTAACTTTAGTCAGAGGTTGCAGGATGACTTTCTTTCCCCCCAAGCCCATAATCATGATCTCTTTTCTACTTTCACCGTGGCACTATTTCAGACTTTCTGCCTGTACTCTGCTCACTTGGGTTCGGGCCATACCTGGCGGTGCTCAGGACTTACTCATGCCTCTGCTCTCAAGGATCCCTCCAGGTGGGGCTTTGGGGATCAAATATGATGCCGGGGATCTAATCCCAAGTCAGCTGCATGCAAGGCAAGTGCTTTACCTCCTGTACTATCTCTCCAGTTCACTATTACTTTCATCTTAAGTGCTACACCCCATCTCTTATTGCTGTTGGACATTGACAGTTTTGCATTGTGTATATAGAACCATTCTTTTCATAGTAAGTATTTTTTCTTTTAAATTCTTTCCTTAGTATGAAATTACTGGTTCTTGTCACAAAATAATGTACTCAGAACACATCAAGAGTCTTACTAATTTTTGTAGCACAGCGGGTAGGGCATTTGCCTTGCATGCAGCCGACCCAGCCGACCTGTGTTCGATTCCTCCACCCCGCTCAGAGAGCCCGGCAAGCTACTGAAAGTATCTCGCCCGCACGGCAAAGCCTGGCAAGCTACCTGTGACATATTCATTATGCCAAACAGAGTAACAAGAAGCCTCATAATGGAGGTGTTACCGGGCCCGCTAAAACAAATCGATGAACAACGGGAGGATAGTGCTACCGTGCTACTTATTTTTGAGAAGAGATACTGGAAATTTTCTCAAAGGATCCTACTGAAGATTTTTTCCCACAGGGGCCAAGCCTGTGGGAAATGAGGCCTGGGGCTACTGCCAACCACAATCTTGACAACTTGGTGCTAGGGCTTCCATCTCCAGCAGTAAATGGGGCGGTGGTGGGGGATGGGGGGTCACCAGGAGCACTGGGTGCCATGGCTTGAACTCAAGGCCTTGCACATGCTAGGCATGTACTCTACCACTTATGTGTGCCCCCAGCTCCTGTTGAAGCAGAGTTTTGATATGTGTCCAGCGGCCTTTTACAAATTAAGAAAACACCCACCCTAATATGCCCCATCTGCAGGGCTATTATTACCACAGACATTCCACAGGTCCTTTCATTTGGCATAACCCAGTCTCAATATTCCATTTTTATTGATTTTTTTAAAAATTTAATTGAGATCCTGTGATTTACAGGGCTATTAATTATGGTTTCTCATGCACATAATCCCACACCAGTATATTCCCTCCCTCTCCCAAGGACCCCATGACTCCGCCCTCCCAAGTCCCCCCACTCCCAAATCAATTATGCAGGTCACTTCTCCCAGGATGTTTGTTGCCTTTGGACCTTTGTTGCTCCCTTGCTGTGTTCCACGCATGAGAGAGATCATTCTATATCTGTTCCTTCCTTTCTGACTGATTTCACTATGTATGATATCCTCTAATTTGATCCTTGTTGCAGCAAATGCAGCAAATTGCGTGATTTTCTTTCTTACAGCTGCGTAGTATTCCATTGTCAAATAGTCCATCTTTAGACCATCATGCCTTCATGCGGTTAGACATTATACTCAAATTTCCATTCAGACAACAAGCAAGCCATTCATATAGAAGCCAGAACCTTCCTTAACTGATAACACCCATATACTAATCTGGTGACTCAAGCCACATTATTTTTCCAAGAGACCAACATTTGTTCAGTAACCTCTGTGTCAAAAGGAATCTTATGGGCTGGAGTGATAGCACAGCAGGTAGGGCGTTTGCCTTGCATGTGACCGACCCGGGTTCGATTCCCAACATCCCATATGGTCCCCCGAGCACTGCAAGGAGTCATTCCTGAGTGCAGAGCCAGGAGTAATTCCTGAGCACAGCCGGGCGTGATGCAAAAAAGAAAAAAAAAAATGAATCCTATAAGTGTGGTGGGTACCAACCCCCCCTTTTACCACAAACCAACGGCCCAGCTGTAAGCTCCAATGAAAAAATCTCTTCATGGGAAACAGAGAGCATCAGAGCTTGCTACTCACAATTTCTCCTTTCTTTCTTTCTTTCTTTCTTTCTTTCTTTCTTTCTTTCTTTCTTTTCTTTCTTTCCTTTCCCTTCCTTCCTTCCTTCCTTCCTTCCTTCCTTCCTTCCTTCCTTTCTTTCTTTCTTTTTAATAAAAGCCTAATGGAAAACTATTTGGACTAGTCTGGCAACATGAATTTTTCCTAGGGGTCAGCATGTAGTAGTCACTTGATGGAAAATCACCAGAACTGAATTTAGGGAGATTTGATTCCTGAGTCATTGCTAGGCAGATGTCATTCTCAAACTTGCATAATTAGGGGAAGGATTGGAGGGTGCTGGACAGAAAGAGCCCATTAGAAGATGGATGGTGAAAACATCGCATACAGAAGTTACTGGGAAAAAGCCAAAGCTGTTTCAAAATTCTTCCAGTACTTTCCTTGTGCTAATTTGGTAAAGAATGAATGGGTTTTGCTCTTTCCCAATTAGGGCTAGTCAGTTACTTAACTTTCTCATCTGAAATAATTAATAAAAATATTTTATTAAAATTAATTGTTAAGGAATTCTGCCTGTTTCGTTGAGTTTCTCCAAGTGACTGTTGAAACGGGCCGCTAGGTAGCTCTGAAAGGGTCCTACTGAATGTCATCCGTGTTGTCTTTGGGAGCTTGCTGGGCTTCACAGGGCCAGACAGACTCAGCAGTCATGGGCAGGATCAAGGGTATATACAGGAGCCTACACAGCGGAGGGGCAACACCAAATCTCGAAAAGGACTTTTGTAAACAGATTGCAAGTGATTTCAGCTGAGCACTTTAGAAGAGCACTATACCGGCCGCCAGAGGGATCTTCACAAAATTTCTAAAGCCATTGATCCTGGTGTTTGGACAATGAGTAAAGAAACCATTTTGTGTTCTTGAAAAAAAAAAAAATAGGGGCTGGAGCGATAGCACTGCAAGAAGGCGTTTGCCTTGCACGCGGCCGACCGGGGTTGGATTCCCAGCATCCCATGTGGTCCGTCGAGCACCGCCAGGAGTAATTCCTGAGTGCAAAGCCAGAAGGTAACCCTTGTGCATTGCCGGGTGTGACCCAAAAAAGCAAAAATAAATAAATAAATAAATAAAAATTAAAAAAATAAAGTACCAAAGCACTTCTCCAGCTGATTTGTGTGTGCGATGTCTATTGCTTTTGCACATTTAGACATTCCGGTTGCACCGGTTCCCACCGTTAGAGAAATCTCAGGAACCGCGCGCAGCCCGGACTAGCTTTCACGGCCGGCCGGAAGAAGCCGGACCCCGCTAGGACCTAGCGGGAGACGGAGGGTCCTTGAGGAGCCGCTGGGCTGACGCGGCGGGGAGGCCTCCTTGAGACCCGGCCAATCAGAAGCCGCCTTCGCGCGGCCGCTGGCCCACAGGACCCGCCCCCTTCAGCGGGCGCAGCGGCTATTTAAAGGTCCGCGCCGGCACCGCCACCGCATGGTCCTTGAGCGGAGACTTGGCTAAGGTAGCGGTCATGGCTAAGCACATCACTCTGTACACTGGCGCCAAAATGCCCATCTTGGGGCTGGGCACCTGGAAGGTAGGTATCCCGAGGACGCGTCTTGGCGACCCCTTTAGGGTCCTGCGCTTCCGGGAGGGGGGCGGAGACGACCTGGAGGGACCCCGAGCGGCCCGGCGCGGCGGATGCCAGGCCTCAGTGGAACCGTTTGGGGGTGGGGGTGGGGGTGGGGGGGGGTTGTCCCGGCTAACTCGGGCACAGAAGCGGGGTCCCGAGCCTGGCCCTGCAGCCCAAGACCCCCGGGCCTTGCATGTATGGTCGCAGGGGCGAGAGGGGGGCGAGGCCACGCTGCACCGGCGCTGTGGGTGGACCCTTCCCCACCCCCCAGGCTGCACCGTGCGTTTCGTTTTGCTGAAAGCCAGAGAGGGGGGGACGGGGAAGGAAAGGGGGCTTCCGGGGAGAGCAGGGGGAGGGTTCCGGGGAGGGCTGGGGGCAGATTGGAGCCGAAGGAGAAATGGGGCGGGGCGCTCCGGCTTCTGCGCCCTCTCGGCAACTTGTTGCGCCCTGGAGAGTTTGCACTTCAGCATCGGCTCGGGGGTCTTTGCTCTCAGGGCTATCCCGAGACGAACCGGGGGCCGCACGAGTGTGCCTAGGAATCAGCCCGGGCGGAATCCCAGCGCTGGGGGAGTCGGGGAGGGGGGTCTTTAGGGATCATGCCAAAGCAGTTAGCAGGCCAGGGGTACCCCGGGGCGGTGGAAATTAGGCCGGAATGGATGGACCAATCTGGATGGATGCTGGGGCTAAACCTAAGCTCAGGGATCACTGCAGGCCACCATCTGGGCTTCCTGGGGACGCAACATAGGCTGGCAAGAGGCCCTTACCCACTGTACTATCACTACCGAGGACTTTTTTTTTCTTTCTGTGTCACACCCGGCGAGGCACAGGGGTTACTCCTGGCTCTGCACTCAGGAATTAACTCCTGGCGCTGCTCAGGGGACCATATGGGATGCTGGGAATCGAACCGGCTCGGCCTTGTGCGCCCTCCCCGCTGTGCTATTGCTCCCGGCCCCTTCTGAAGACTTTTAAACCACTTGTTTCGGGGCCACGACTTATCTTAGTGGGACTCAGAGGACCATATGCACTGTGATTTTCCCCCCTCCCCCAACCTCCCCATCCTCAGGCAAAGCAGATTTCCGTAGGAGCATCGACTACAGGTTTTGAGGGGGCATAGACAAGGAAAGAGAAGGCTAAGAAACACGGGCAGGGGATGGAATGATGGCACAGCAGGTAGTGTAACTTGCCTTGCACTCAGCAGACCTGGGTTTGGACCCTGGCACCTCATAGGGTCCCTCTGAGCACTGCCAGGAGTAATTCCTGAGCATCTCTGAGTGGGCGACCCCAAAACACAAAAGGAACAAGGGCAAACCGGGTTTGAAGTTAAACAGAAGCTGCTGTTTTTCTCCTAAAACCTGCTATCAAAAAACAATTATCTAGAAGGTGAATAAGGAGAGACCAGAGAGTTTCCTTAATTTGTTTTCCTTCCAATACCGCACTCACCCAGAGGGTGATTAAATTATTGCTCTGGGGGAAGGGGCGCCTCCCAAGTGGTGCTCAGGTGATGGGGGCAAGGATTTGGGGGCATTGATGGGGGTGAGGGGCTCAAGGACTGAAGTGTGTAGAAATGGGGGGAACCAGGCAGTACGGGGGATTCGCCACGGGCATGGACCTTCTTCTCTCTGGCCCAGTGTAATTGAATTACAACCATGATACAGTCAAATTCCACTTGCCTCAGTCTTTAGGCTTTAGGCTAGGAGCAAAGTAACCGGTTCTATAATGACACGGCACACAAGTGTTGGTATATAACTGGACCAAACAAGATTCCCACTGGGGGCTGGAGCCATAGCACAACGGGTGGGGCGTTTGCCTTGCACGCAGCCGACCTGGGATTGATTCCCAGCATCCTATATGGTCCCTTGAGCACCGCCAGGAGTAATTCTGAATGCAGAGCCCGGAGTAACCCCTGTGCATCACCGGTTGTGACCCAAAATGGAAAAAAAAAAAGCCCACTGTGCACCACCTAACCTAGTGTTCTGCCTGCCAGGTTTTTCAAATTGTGCTTTGTGCTTTCAGAAACAGTGGCCCTGCCTCTTGCCTGTGGTTTGGAAACCACTGCTCGAGGGTCAGGGAGGAGTAGAAGTCGGTTAAAGAAGGTCTCTAAGTTCTTTCTCCTGAGCATTTAAGTACCTGGGAAAGTGGTCTATATTTCATAACATAAAAGAAGAAAATCTGTTGATTTCGGTCACTCATTGGGGCGGGAGAAGTTTGTGGAGGCCGATCTTACGTAGACCTTGTGGCCTGCTCTTCACTAATCTCTAGCCTGCCCGGCCAAGTGGTACCCAGAGGCCATGTCTCCTGTCTCAGCAAGTGCCCAGAGGCCATGTCTCCTGTCTCAAATGAACGCTCAGATAATCAGAGGCTCTGGCTTGGAGGAGTGAGGAGATGAGGTTTTTAACCCCTGTATGTATCGGCACAGCTAAAGGGAGCAGGGAACTGGGGGGGTGGTGTAAGTGGTGGCCAGAGTGCACCCCACCCCCTGGCCTTGATTACGCACCAAAATGATGTGGCTAGTCCTTGAGTCCCTTTTCTCCAGCATGTGGTTTGAGACACCTTCTCAGAGGCTGGACCAGGCACCACGTCGCTTGCATACCATATGACGGTCCCTGTGACACCAGAAGGGGTGTGCGTCCATGGAGGGGGACAGTGGCCTGCCCTAAGTTCTCAAGTTGGGCCCCAAGTGCTTGAGAAGGCTTGGCCGCCTTTTTTGGATCGAACCTAAGCCTACAACAGATCACTTTTTTTTTTTTGCTTTTTGAGTCACAACCAGCGATACACAGGGGTTACTCCTGGCTCTGCACTCAAGAATTACTCCTGGTGCTGCTCGGGGGACCATATGGGATGCTGGGGGTCGAACCCAGGTCTGCTGTTTGCAAGGATAACACTCTACCTGCTGTGCTATCGCTCCAGCCCCCGAGATCACCTCTTTTCAGGGGAGGGAGGGTGCACACCTGGCAGTGCTCAGGACTTACTCCTGGCCTTGTGCTTAGGGAGCACTCCTGGTGGGCTCAGGGGACCATAGAGGGTGCCAGGGGTTAAAACCAGGTCAGCTTTGTGCAAGGCAGTTGCCCTCCCTGCTGCTGGACTATCGCTCTGACCTCCAATAAATGGGGCTGTGGTCGGAAACACGTGACTGTCCTTGGCCTTGCCCTTGGCCTTGCGGGAGGGATGCGGGGGAGGGCAGCTGTCATTAAAATCCCTTCCTGAGAATGGAGCACAGTCAGTCCTGGTCTCTCCGCCCTCCCATTTTTCCACACCAGGAAGTTCAGAGACGTTTTCTCCATCCCTCGTCCTTGATAATGGGTTTTTTTTTTTTTTGCTTTTTTGGGTCACACTTGGCGATGCACAGAGGTTACTCCTGGCTCATGCACTCAGGAGTTACCCCTGGCGGTGCTCAGGGGACCATATAGGATGCTGGGAATCAAACCCGGGTCGGCAGCAAGCAAGGCAAATGCCCTACCCGCTGTGCTCTCTCTCCAGCCCCTTGATAATGTTTTTAAAACATTTTTGATTCTACCTACTTAGGGCCTTATAACCATTGCAGACCCATAAGTCAGTGTATACACTTTTTTTGTGTTTGTGAGGAGAGCTCTGGGGGGTGGGGGTTGTTCTTACCACCTGTAAGACCGTACCGGGTGGGGGGGGGGAGCTAGAGCGATAGCCTTGCACCTGGCAGACCCCGGTGTGATACCCCAGCACCCCATATGATCCTCCAAGCATCACCAGGCGTGATCCCTGAGCATAGAGCCAGGAGTAACCCATGAGCATCACTGGGTGTCTCCCTCCCACCCCCCCCCAAAAAAAAAAACCAAAAGAACAACTAAAAAGCCCCAGATATCTTCCCCAAAGACTGTCTGAGGTGGGAATTGTGGGAATTGTCACTTGTCACAAGTGGAACAAGATGGGAGTGGCCCAAGGCATGCCGAGCGAGGGTCAGTTCCCTCCTTTTCCCACGGCGGAGGCCAGGCCTCCGTGCCGGGAGAGATTGAATTACCCCCTGCCCTGCCATCGGCCTGTCCCTCCCACCTCTGGTATCCACGGGCACAAGTGTCGCCAATGGAGCTTGGGGGAGTCGATCCCCGTGTGAGCGTTTGCCTGTGGTCAGAGCCGATTACGAGCTGTACGATAGTAGCCCTGTGTGTTCTTGTGATAACGCAGTGAGAAAAGATTCTTCATGCACCAGCTCTCTGGTTGGAAGTTGACTGAGGTCGATGAGATTAATCTGGACACTGAGCTTGGGCCCGTGGGCGGGAAGCCAGGTCCCCGGGGATGGGGGTGGGTGGGGGACGCAGCTAGACCTCCTTGAACATGGGGAGGCACATTTAGGGCAGCCCACCGGGGTCACGCTGGTCCCCCTCACTGCACTCGGCAGCGCTCTGTCTGTCCTGGAGTTGGGGGGCGTCTCCCAGAAGCACAGATTGAGAGCATGGCATAGAGAGTGTCAGGATGGGCGGCCCGGCTCGGTCCCTCTTGGCCACCGCTAAGGGGAACTGTTGGCAATGGAGCCAACCCTTCGGGGTCCCGGGAGGTCCTGTGTTCTCTGTTCACACTGCCTGGGAAACCGGGGTGTCAGGAGGGGGTGCCCCGTCTCTGCTCCCAGGGATGCCTGAGGAGTTGTGGCGGAAGCCCACGACACCCATCACTAATAATAGTCTCCCGGTCCTCCTGAGTTAAGTGTGCCAGCTCCTCTTCCAGGAGATAATACGTCAATTCATCGGCCTTTGGAATGCATCCTGTGAAGTGAGTTTAGGTCAGAACTGAAAGGCCTTTTGATGTTGCACCTGTCAGAGCCGATGGATCCGGTGAAAAGTCGTAGTAGGAAGTGGCCCAGAGAGGGCACTGGCTGGCGTGTGTGAGGGCAGGGAAAACCCGGGGTGTGCCAACCGACTTCACCTGCCCTCCACAGTTGGCGGCCAAAAGAGCAATGGCTACAGTAGCAGCTGGGGGGTTGGGGTCGGGGGCGGGGGAGGTAGCAAGGAAGTAAGAGGGAGTCAAGCGTCCCTGCAGCCAGCCTGGGCACTGCTGTGGGTGCTGCCCACTCAAGAGGGTGCATACACACCCCTCCTTGTTCCGTCTCCTTGTGGGGCTCGTGTCTGCAACCTCCCACCCCCCACCACACTCTTCCTCTTACACAGTGAGAATGGAAGGCCTTGAAGCTTCAGCGACAAACATCCTGGAATGACACACACCAAGTGATGGGTCGCGGGCAGTTGTGGGCGCAGGGAGGCGGCTGGGGCCGGGTACCCACCGAGCACCCGCCGAGCTCACAGACCCGGCAGGATGTGTGCAGATGATGGCATAAGGTCATCAGAGGCCATGGCCCCCCGCCCTGTTCTGGGGACAAGAGTCCGGGGTGGGGGGAGGTACCATGTGCTGTGGTCTCGAGGGTCCACGGCATGAGAGCCAAGGTGGTGTTTGGCACATCCCCACTGTGGTGAAGCAGTTGTGGGCGGGGGGGGGGGTCCTCAGGAAGGAACCCCCCCCCCCCCCCCCCGCAAAGTGCCTGTGTTTGACTCTAGAACCTTTTGGAAGGACACCAGGGCTCACGCTGCTCTTCCGGGTCACCTGCTAACCTCGGGTCCCTTTCTGGCCCTCCCTCCCTGCCCTTCCCCACCTGTCCTCCCCCTGCACGCAGTCCCCCCCAGGCAAAGTGGCGGAGGCGGTGAAGGCGGCCATCGACGTCGGGTACCGCCACATTGACTGTGCCCACGTCTACCAGAACGAGAACGAGGTGGGCGGGGCCATCCAGGAGAAGATCCAACAGAAGGTGGTCAAGCGGGAGGACCTCTTCATCGTCAGCAAGGTAGCGGGGCGCTCACCCTCCCGGGGGTGGGGGGGGCGCCTCTTCGGGGCCGGTCCAGGTCCAGGGCCCTGAGAGTCAGTGCCCCGATATCAGCGGCCCCCTGCTGCCAAGGCGAGGCGTGTGGGTTCACTCTCCCTTTCCAGGGAGTTGGTCCTGCGGCCAAACCAGGGGCCCAGCTCCAGGGAGACCAGCCAGGCTCGCAGAGAGGCCGTGGGTGGGTTTCTGCAGCCTCCCCACCCCACCATCCCCCATGTTGCCCTCTCTGAGCGGTTCCTTTGACCCGGGACCACCCATGGGATGGTCACGCCCCCCTCCACCCCACCCCGCCCCCAGCTGAGAGGCCCTGCCGGGACAGGACGTGCAGCCTCAAAGGGAGGGGATGTCACCTCTTGGCCCAGCAGAATGGGTGTGTGTGTGACAGCCTTGCTCCCCCCACCCCACCCCTCCCCACCCCCAACCCGGCTACAGCTGTGGTGCACGTACCATGAGAAGAACCTGGTGAGAGGCGCCTGCCAGAAGACGCTGAGTGACCTCAAGCTGGACTACCTGGACCTCTACCTGATCCACTGGCCCACTGGCTTCAAGGTGGGGACCCGGGCCAGGGCGGGGTGGGTGGCTCACGCCTGCGCAGGTGGTGTCACCTAGTGGCCTGCGGTCGAGTGACCTGAGAGCTGGGCAGACGCGTATCCCGGGGACTGACTAGTACAGTGGCTAAGGCGCTTGCCTTACACGTGCCTGGCACAGAGCCGGGAGTCTGTCCTGAGCACAGAGCAGGGAGTCAACTCTGAGCACAGAGCCAGGAGTCAGTGCTGAGCACAGAGCTGGGATTCAGTCCTGAGCAAAGCAGGGAGTCAACTCTGAGCACAGAGCCGGAAGTCAGTCCTGAGCACAGAGCTGGGAGTCAACTCTGAGCACAGAGCTGGGGGTTCAGTCCTAAGCACAGAGCCGGAAGTCAGTCCTGAGCACAGAGCCGGTTGGTCAGCCCTGAGCCACCACTGGATTTGGCCCCCAAACAAAACCCAGGAATGTGTCCCGGTGCTCCAAGTCCCTCGCGGGCTATCAGACACCGCTCAGCATGGTGGGATGCTGCTCTTGTCCTTGGGGTGTCCCATCTGAAAACTGGGCAGCAGTGGGTGTGGCTCTGGGCTTCCTCCCGCGTCCAGGAGGCAGCCTGTGCTGTTGCCCCGTGGGCATGGACTCGCCCTGTCCGCACAGGGCACACTTGGCTTCCCAGTCCTCCCCCCTCCGTCCCAAAGGCCCCGAACACAGTGGACCTGTGGCCTTTGTCACCTTTCAGCTGTGGCCTCTGTGCCTTCTGCTCTATTGGCCTCGCTGTCGGTGGGCCTTCGTTAACTCCGGGTGTCACATCAGGGCTGGACTCACTCATGAGAACCCTGTGGGGCTCAGCCAGCCTGTGGTGGGGATCGGCCCGGGACTCAGTCCTCAGCCTTGGGCCTCCGCATCATTACATCCCGGTCCCCCAAGGGGGCGCACTCAGGGCCCTCACCAGAGGGCAGGGGGTGATCGGGGGCTGTGGAAAGCTGCGCTCCTTGTCCCTACCTGCTCCCCAATGTGCCCGGGGTCAGCTTCAGACACCTGTGGCTCCTGAGGCTGCCTTCAGGGCGCTCTGTGAGGACCAGCACTGACTCGTGTGTGTCTGTCTGTGTCTGTGTGTGTGTGTTGTGTGTCATGACAGCCCGCCAAGGAGTTTTTCCCGCTCGATGGGGACGGCAAAGTGATTCCCTGTGAGACGGACTTCGTGGAGACGTGGACGGTGAGGCAGCTGCCCTTGCTCCCACCCTGCCCCTCCCGCCGTGTGCCCCTCTGGGGCCCGTGTCTGCTCTCCCCCGGCCCCCCACGGGCCAGCCCGGCTCTTTGGTCTCAGCTTCACAGAGGTCCAATCCAGCAGGGACCTGCTGAGCTGCCCCTGGCCCCCCTCCCCCGAGGGCCCCGGAGGGCAGCTCACAGATGCTCTGCTTGTCTCTAGGCCATGGAGGAGCTGGTGGACGAAGGGCTGGTGAAAGCCATCGGCATCTCCAACTTCAACCACCTGCAAATCGAGAAGATCCTAAACAAGCCTGGGCTGAAGTACAAGCCGGCGGTGAACCAGGTAACCCCCATGTACTCTCTGCTCGTCCGTCCATGTCCTCCCGCGGGGAGCAGGCAGGAGCAGGCAGGTCCCCGGGCACTAGCAGAAGACTCGCTTATTTATTTTATTTTATTTTATTTTATTATTCTCCCCCCCCCCCAGTTTTATTTTGTTCAAGCACTATGAATTAAGAGTTATCCATAATTGGGTTTTTGACATGCCATGTTCCATCACCCATCCTGCCACCTGTTTCAGCTTCTCTCGACCAGCGCTCCCAGATCCCCTCTCCCCTGCCCCCGCCCCCCCTCCCCCATCCTCCCACCCCTGCCCCAGCCCCAGTCTGGCATCTTGACCAGAACCTTTTCAAACCTGGTTATTAAAATGTGGGTCTTGGGGCTGGAGCCATAGCACAGCGGGGAGGGCATTTGCCTTGCGCACGGCCAACCCGGGTTCGATCCCCAGCATCCCATACGGTCCCCCGAGCACCGCCAGGAGTAATTCCTGGGTGCATGAGCCAGGAGGAACCCCTGTGCATCGGGTTAGAGGCCACCCAGGGGTCCCAGGCAGGATGAAATGGAGGGGCTGCTCTGTGGGTTCTGCAGGGAGTGCAGAGATGGGCACCTCTGGGGAAAGCCCCCCCGGGTGTCCACTGTCCCGGGGCCGCGCCCACAGTGCCGCCTGCTTGCCCCTGCAGATCGAGTGCCACCCCTACCTCACCCAGGAGAAGCTGATCCAGTACTGCCAGTCCAAAGGCATCGCCGTGACGGCCTACAGCCCCCTTGGCTCGCCCGACAGGCCCTGGTGCGTCGTGTCCTCCCAGCACTGGGCAGAACGAGAAACCGCCCCGGGAGGGGACAGTGTGGGCAGGAAGGGAGGGAGGTGCCCCCTGGCACTGCCCCGGGGCCCTCCTGAGCCCCCCCCCCCCGCCCGCACCCCCCGCCAGCTGCTGGGCATTTCCAGAAGCAGGACAACTGTCCACTGGATCTCTACAGCCTGAGGTGGTGGGCGTGGGGAAGGCCAGGGGTCAGGGAGAGGGACGGGGTCTCACCAGCTTCCCACTGAGGCCCCTGGCGGGAGTGAGTCCCAGTGTGGGGGTGTTGCCAGCAGTCTGGCGTTGCCCACTGCTCACAGAACCCCATCTCTGTGTCCAGGGCCAAGCCCGAGGACCCCTCCCTACTGGAGGACCCCAGGATCAAAGAGATCGCCACCAGGCACAAGAAAACCACGGCCCAGGTACACCCGCCTGCCCAGAAATCAGCCCCAGGCAGGGTCCCAGTATTGCCGGTGGGGACCCTCCCATCTCTGCGTCCCAGGTGTGGGTGTCCGGCAGCTCTGGCCTCTGGCCCGCCCCCCCCACCACACACACACATGTACGCCCGGGGCTCCTCCCTTCCCAGGTGCTCATCCGCTTCCCGATGCAGAGGAACCTGATCGTCATCCCCAAGTCCGTGACGCCTGAACGCATCGCTGAGAACTTCAAGGTGAGATCTGAGCAGTTTGGGGTCGGGGCAGGGCGGGGGCGTGTGGTTTCTCCTCCTCTGGGGCTGCGAGTAGTGGGTGGGTGGGGGCCCCTTTTCCTCCAGCCCTCAAAGCCCCATGAGGACGCGGGAGGAGGCACCTCACTGGGTGGGGGGCAGCCAGGGGCCCCAAGAACGGCCACTCCTTCGCTCCTTCGGTGCCCCTGCCTCCGTCTCCCCATCTGGGCCGTTAAAGCCGATTTCCGGGGCTGTGGTCAAATGCTAAACATCACGCGGGAAGGGGCCCGGGGCTTAGCGTCATCCAGGGCAGCGACAGGCCTGGGCTGACCTGGAGAGGCAGGCCCGTGGGAGCCTCCAGTGCGGAAGCCCACCCTTACCGTAGCCTGCTGCTGCCGCCCCCCAGGAGTGGGCGGGTTTCCCTCCTCCCTGGCATTGGATTCTGCCCTTCCCCCTCCCCCCTTTCCTGCCTCCTGGACCTCCAGTCTTCACCTTGGCCCCACCGTGGCCCAAGGGAAGGAGTCATGCCTTTTCCCCGCCTCCCCCTCAGGCTATGCCCCCCCCGCCCCCCCCAAGGGCCGGGAGAGGAGCCCTTTCTGCTCCCTCTCCGCGGGTGCCCAGTTGTTACAGACTTGGAGGGGGTGGGGCTCGGGGGTGGAGCCAGCTGGAGAAGGAGCCAAGAAACCTTCTCAGCACAGCCGGAGGGTGGCATCCCACTGGCCTGTGCAGTGATCGCTGGTTCCTAGCTGGTTCTCAGGGCGGCGGGGTGGGGAGCCCCGAGCCCCTGGGAGTTTGGAATAAAGCAGATCCCGTCCCAGCTGCCGCGAGTCGCGGGGGTGGGGGATTCCTCAGTGGCCCCACACGGGTCGGCGCTTTGAAACAGGGTGGGGTACCCCCCCCCCCCAGGGTAGTGCAGAAACCCTTCTGCAGTGCATCACTCCCGGCTGCCTCCTTCCAGGTGTTCGACTTCGAGCTGAGCCCCGAAGAGGTGAACACGTTGCTGAGCTTCAACCGCAACTGGAGGGTCTGCGCCCTGATGAGGTGAGCGAGCCCCACCCCGGACACAGGTCCCCACGCCGCCGCTGCCACCGCTTGCCTCTGCCTGGGTGTGAGTTCTGGCCAGTGAGCCCAAGGGAAAAGCCCTGGGCTCGCTGTGTCCACTCAGAGGGCAGGAGTCTCCAGGCAGCACCTCTTGCACCCTGGCCCGGGTTCCAAGGCTCAGGAGCTGGTGGGCACCGCTGGCCGGGAGCTGGAAGGCAGAGACACTCCGAGAGGCTCACACAGATCCTGGGTGGGTTCCTGGGCCCCCCTGAGGGGCTGGTGCTCACCACGAGGCCACCCTGGCCTCGCTGGGCTGTCCCAACGGGGACAGTCTACTCTGAGGAAGCAGCTGTGGTGTCCACAGTGGCCGGGTGCGGGCCCTCTGTCCCCCTGGGAGCTGCTCTGAGGCCCATGGGTGGCGTCCCCAGCCCCAGGCTTGCTCTCGGCCTCAGGTGGCCTCGGTGACCCCCTCAGGCAGTGTCTGGCTGGCTCTCGAAGCCACAAAGGGGGCTTTTTTTTTCTTTAATTGATTTTATATATATATATATATATATATATTATAAAGTCACTGGCACGGGACATGGAGAAATAGTAACAGAGTGTCAGGCTAAAGTGAGTTCGAACCCCAGCACCCCATATGGCCCCTTGAGCACTGCTAGGGGTGTGTCCTGAGCTCTGAGAGCTAGGACTAAACCCTGAGTACTGGCAGGTACGGCCTAAAACCTAAGAAAAAAAAATAAAAGGAAAAGAGGGAAAAAGAAAAAAGTAAGTCCCCCGGCAGGCAGCCCCAGCCAAGCCAGGGCTCTCTGTCTCCTGCCTGTTTGTGTTCACGGTTGTGACCCTGAGCCCTGATCTAAGGGGCGTGGTGGCGGGGGGAGAGAAGTGACTCACACACTGGGTTGCGTCTTTTCCTTTGCACACCTCTGCCCTTCATTCCTGGAGTTCTTTGCTCCTGCGGCTGGCGTGGGGGGTGGAAGGTCTCGCCCATCCCCCTGTACCTGCAGACCCCGTCCTCCTTCCCACAGTGAGCAGACAGCGAGTAGCACGCCCTCTAGGCTGCGGGGGTGCCCAGGTCAGGCCCCCCTGGGGAACTTTCTCGTGCGTACCCATGGCCTTTTCACCAGGGGCCTCTCTGGCTAGTGGCAGTTGAGCGTGACCTTCAGGCTTGGGGGGTATGTATGCAGTGCAAGAAGACAAGAGCGTGAGGAACTTGCGTGTCTCTCAACGTTGGAGTCAGACTCTCAGGTCCCCCATCGGGTTCGCTCCCGGCCCACCCACACTGTCTGTATAAAAGTCGCATCACTTCCCCTTCCTGGCCACCACCCTCGGGCCCCGTGGAGGCTGTGCCATGGAACCAGCCTTGGGCCCGGACCACCTCCTTCTGCCCCCAGCCTGTCCCTCTGCAGTTTTCGGGTCCTCAGCCCCTTGCTGGGGGCTAAGGGCCACTCCCAGGATTGGTGGTGGGGGGGGCTTGTTGGGAACAGACCCCGTGGCCCTCCAACCTGCCTTCTCTGTGCTTTGGCTGAGTCACTCCCCTCTCCCTTGAAGTCAGTGTCCCACAGAATTTGCTGATGGGGTCCTCGGGAGGCACGTGGCTTCCCGGTGGGCCCCATGCTCAGACCCAGACCCAGGGCTGGGGGTGCGGGGGGGACCTAGGGTCCACATCAGGCAAGCGGGAAGAGGGCAGGGCAGCGGGGTGGCTCAGGAAGGGAGAAGGATACAGGACCCTGAGCCAGGCCTGCCAGCTGCTGGGCCCAGTTCCCCAGATGCAGTTCATCGGGCCGGATGCAGTTCATCGGGCTGAATGCAGTTTATCAGGCCATGGCATCCGGTAACCCCCGGGCACAGCCCTGCGTGCTTGGGGTAGACGCAGAGGAGGCAGCAGCCGACAGAGCGGCTTTTTCCGCCCCCCTCCCGATCCGGGGTTCGTGGAGGAATCCCCCGCAGCCCCGCTGACACCGTGTCTGTTTCCACAGCTGCACCTCGCACCGGAATTACCCCTTCACCATCGAGTTCTGAAGCCGCAGTGCCCGCCCCTTGCCTGGTGGCCAACTGCCTCTCCTCCTGCCCCGTACCTCCCCCGACCCCCCCTCCCCACATCAAGGCCATGTGGCCGGGGGTCCATCTATGCTACTCGGGCCCCCTGTGCCCTGCCCCGCCCCCCACACACACACTCCTGGGGACAGAGGACAGGGTCTGTGGGTTCGAAGCCTGCTTCCTGTCTGGCTGAGGAATTCACCGGGAAACTTTCCTGGTTTCAATCTAGAAAGTGAAGAGTGGCGTTAGAGCCAGCAGCCACTGCTGCTTTGGGGATGGCAGGCCTTCAGGCAGGCCCCCCACACCCACCCAGGCCCCACCCATCCTCCCTCCCCTCCCCCTTCAATAAAAAGTGCTTTTGTGAATCTGACCAGTGTCTTGCTTTGCTTTGTTGAAATGACTCCCCACCTTCCTGGCTTCGGCACCCACCAATGGGGGGCGGCTAGGGTCTCCCCGTGGCTCTGGGTCAGCCTCACCCGTGGGGCTGGACACCTGTGACGTCTCTGCCTAGTTCAGGACAGCACCTGTGTGGGCAGGGCTGCAGGTCCCCAGCCCTCACCCGCATGTCCCACTCACTGGACGAGTTGACAGCCGGGTCTCCTCCAGGGTGCCAACACTGGTCTGCCGATGGCCACTTTCCCACCGCCTTCCCAGGGCAGAGAGGGGGGAAAAATTGCTTTTCTGTTCTGTTTTGCGGGCCACTCCGGGTGGTTTTCGGAGGTTCTTCTGGACTCTCTGCCCAGGGCTAACTCCTGGTGGGGTGCAGGGGACCGAATGGGATGCTGGAGATCAAACCTGGGTCAGCTACGCCCAAAGCAAGTGTCCCACCAGCTGTACATTCTCCAACCCCCTATATATATTTTTTTTTTGATTGCACCCAGCGATGCTCACGGATTACTCCTAGCTCTGCACTCAGGAATTACTCCTGGTGGTGCAGGGGCAGCCATATGGGATGCCGGGGATCGAACCCAGGTTGGCCGCTTGCAAGGCGAACTCCCTACCCGCCCGCTGTACTATCACTCCGGTCCAGCCCCACAACCCCTATTTTTTAGGTAGAATTTTTTTTTCTTTTTGGGTCACACCCAGCAATGCACAGGGGTTACTCCTGGCTCTGCATTCAGGAGTTACTCCTGGTGGTGTTCAGGAGGCCATATGGGATGCTGGGAATCGGACCTGGGTCGGCTGCGTGCAAGGCAGACGCCCTACGTGCAGAGCGATAAATCGCTCCGACCCCACCCCCTATTTTTAAAAATTTATTTTATACAATCACCCTGAGATATAAGCTTTCATGTTTGAGTTACAATCACACAATGGTCAAACACCCATCCCTCCACCAGTGCACATTCACCACCATCAGTGTCCCCAGTATACCCCCCTTTCCAACCCTCCCACTGCCTCCATGGCAGACAATATTTTCTATATTCTCTACTTTAGGGTTTTTTTTTGTTGTTGTTGTTTTGTTTTTTGTTTTTTTGCTTTTTTTGGGTTACACCCAGCAATGCTCAGGGGTTACTCCTGGCTCATGCACTCAGGAATTACTCCTGGCAGTGCTCAGGGGACCATATGGGATGCTGGGAATAGAACCCGGGTCAGCCATGTTGGCTGCGTGCAAGGCAAACGCCCTGCCCGCTGTGCTATCGCTCCAGCCCCTATTCTCTACTTTTGGGCATTTTCAACCCCCTACTTTTAATTGACTTTTGTCTCTTGGGCCTCACCCAGCTGTGCTCAGGCCACACCCGACTCTGTGCTCAGGAATCCCTCCTGATGGACTCAGGGAACCTGGGGCGGTGCTGGGAATTAAACCCAGGTTGGACCCAATCAAAGTGGAGCTCCATACCTGCTGTACTGATAAGCAAGGGCTTGTGCGTTGTGTTTGGCCTTCCCAAGTAGTGGCCAGGGGCCCTGGGGGGGGCCACTCCCGGTGAAACTGAGCCAACTGGTGCAGACTGTTCATTGCTGAGGCCCGGCTATGTGGAAACGACCAGGACCACCCTCCAGTGCTCAGGGGACTGCGCAGTGCCAGGCTCACGCATACAGGAATGTGCTCCAGCCCTGGGAGTCATCTTTCCAGCCTCAGTTTCTTTTCTTTTCTGTTTTTTTTCTTTTTTCTTTGTGTGTGTGTGTGTGTGTGTGTGTGTGTGTGTGTGTACTTTTTGGGTCACACCTGGCGATGCACAGGGGTTCCTCCTGGCTCTGCACTCAGGAATTACCCCTGGCGGTGCTCTGGGGACCGTATGGGATGCTGGGAATCGAACCTGGGTCGGCCGCGTGCAAGGCAAACATCCTACCTGCTGTGCTATTGCTCCAGCCCCAGGCCTCAGTTTCTTTGTTTGGCATTTGCAAATGCCATTGCAGGTTGCTGTGTGCGTGTTGGGCGGGCACTCGGGGTGCTGCTCAGAACTTACCCTTCACTCTGGGCTGAGGGACCACTCCCAGTGGGAATCAAGGTGGACTGTATGCAAAACAAGCATCTTACGCTGTACTATCTCCGGCCCCCAGATATTCCTGGGCGTGGTGGGGGGGCATGGGGCGGGGAGTGAGCCACAGTTGGTTATGCCTAGACATTCCGGCTGTGTTCCTGAATCACCCCGGCAGTGCCAGGGGGGGCCATAGGTGGAACCCAGGTTGGCCACCAACAACGCCAGCACCTCAGCGCCCGTGTGCCGTCTCTCCAGCACCCCGTAATCTGGTTTTTCTTAATAACATTTTACCAAGAATTAGATTGACCAAGACCAGGAAGCCCCAGAGTCTGTGACGTCAGAGGCTGCGTGACAGCTGCTGGTGCCCGCGGGGGTGGGGAGGGTGGAGGCGGTGGCCTCCTCAGACTATGGTCATTGTGTCTCCGGCTTGAGGTGCTGAGTGCCAAGGCTCCCAAGTGGCTTGAAGGTGGGGGGGTCTGAGCTGCGCCTCCCCCCTACCAACTCTCATGCTGCTCGCCACCTGGAAACCCACGGCTTGGCCCCCTCTCAACACCTGGTCACACTTTCCCCAGCGGGGCAAGGCAGGCCCGCTCCTTCTCCCCCGTCCAGCTGCAGACCTCTTCCGTCTCCCTCTGAGTCACCCCGAGCCGACTACTGGATGGTGAGGCCTGTTCCCATCATCTGCTCAGTCCGTCCAGGTACTCACGCACGGGCATTAGGGGAAAGCATGAGTCTCCCCCAAGAGCATCCCCCCCCCACCCCCAGACCGGAGTGATAGCACAGCGGGGAGGGCACTTGCCTGGCACATGGCAGACCTGGGTTTGATCCTTGGCATCCCATTTGATCCCCTGAGCACCACCAGGAGTGAGTCCTGAGTGAAGAGCCAGGAGTAAGCCCTGAGTATCACTGGGTGTGACCCCAAAACCCCCCCAAAAAAAACAAAACAAAAGAGTATTCCTCCCCCCCCCCACAACAAATTTCACAAATTTCTGATGGTTTGGGGTCCACACCTAGCATTGCTCAAGGCTTACTCCTGGCTCTGTGCTTAGAAATCCTGCCTAACGGGGCCCAGGGGACTATACGGGGTACTAGGGATCGAACCTGGGCCTGCCTCTTGCAAGCAAGCACAGTTCCTTAAATTCTCTGGCCCTTAATTTCACAATGTTGATCAACTCTGTATCTAGGGGTCAGGGGCTAGGGCGCATGGCTGCCACGGGACAGACCCTGCTTCAGTGCTGGGTACCCGTGGTCCCTCCTGGAAGCCCTCAAGTCCAGTGGAGCCCAACAGCTCCGTATTCTAGCACTGAACTGCCAGTCAGTGAGGATGAGAACCACCGGAAGTGGCTCCCAGAGCACTGCTCAAAAGTGCCACTCTCTCCCCACGAATATAGACTCTATCCAGATGCATGAACTTTCTGTGGAAAGTCATTTGTTTTGTCTGTTTGGGGGGGGCACACCCCACAGCGGCTCAGCACTTACTCCTGGCTCTGTGCTCAGTAATCGCTCCTGCCAAGGCTCAGGGAACGTACAGGGTGCCATCAATGGAACAGGGTCAGCTACGTGGTAAGCAAGAGCTCAGCCCGTCTGCTGTACTGTCTCTGGCCCCAGGAAAGCGATCTTTGAAATGACAGGGCTAGGGAGATCAATTCAAATGGTAGAGGATAAGGCCTGCTTGCGTGAGGCCTTTGATCCATTCACTGGCACCAGCCCTGCTAGATGTGGGTCTCGAACCATGCCCCAACCCGAACACTGGCACAACCACACAACAAAGAATGAACTCCATTAAAAAATATATTTGCTGGGTCTGGAGCTATAGCACTGCGGGTAGGGCATTTGCCTTGCACACATCTGACCTGGGTTCTATTCTCATCATCCCATATGGTCCCCCCGAGCACCACCAGGAGTAATTCCTGAGTGCATGAGCCAAGAGTAACCCCTGAGCATCACCAGGTGTGACCCAAAAAGCAAATATATATGTATATATATTTGTTTATTTGGGGTGGAAGGCCAGGGGCACACCGGCAGCGCTCAGGGAATACTCCTAGCTCTGTGTTCCTGGATCATTCCTGGCATTGCTTGGTACATCTTATATGGTGCAGGGTCTCAAACCCAGGCCACCCATATGCAAGGCAAGCCCCTTACCTGCTGTACTATCTCTCAGGACTTTCTATTTACGATATTTTGATTGAGGTAACATCCGCTAATCAAACCCTATTTTAGGAGCGCAGGCAGACACCTCTTCAGATGTCTCTTACCACCTTCAAAGTCCCAGTGTTTCTCCAGCCCTGTGCACTGTGGCAAGTTTTCATTTCATTTATTATTTATGGTTTGTGACACCCAGTGGTGTCCATGGGCTAACCCTGGCTCTATGCTGAGGCATGATTCCTGGTAGAGCTCAGGGGAATCATATGTATTTCAGGGGATCCAACCAGGGTGGGCTGGGGTGCAAGGAAATCCCCTTAACCCCATACGCTGTCTCTAGCCTGGTAGTAGCACTGTAGCACTGTCCTCTCATTGTTCATCGATTTGCTTGAGTGGGCACCAGTAACGTCTCCATTGTGAGACTTGTTGTTACTGTTTTTGGCATATCGAATACGCCACGGGGAGCTTGCCAGGCTCTGCCATGTGGGCGGGATACTCTCGGTAGTTTGCCGGGTTCTCTGAGAGGGGCGGAAGAATCGAACCCCGGTCGGCTGCATGCAAGGCAAATGCCCTAACCACGGCACTATCGCTCCAGCCTGGTAGTAAGTTTTTCAAATCAGAGACCTGTGGGAGTCTACCACAATCAAATCGAGAGATTTAAAAATTAGCCAGAATAGACCTCCTGCCCCCCTGCACTCCCACAATGCCCTCAAAGGTGCCCACAATGCCCACTAGCTTCCCGCCCTCCTCCCTGTGGTGTGACTCGGAGAGGAATCAAGGTCTGAC